TTTCCTGTATCGCGAATTAAGTTACTGCGATTTAAAATTTTTTGGTTTTGATATGTAATTCGAGCCAGTAAAGTCTGTACGGACTTGAAATAATTAATCCTTTATTGCTACGATTTCATAAATATACCTACTTATCATTACCTATCGCTACCTTCTTTTCGAAACTTACATCTATCTGCAGCATAAGCCCGTTTCTTAAAGTTAGTTTATTTTTCCATTTTTCGGTTGGTTTCACCGCGCGTATGTGATATCATTCACCCTTGGTTGATTACTATCATTTTTTGGAATCATGTAGGTACAACAACTATTGAATACACTCTGACAAACTTGTCAAATCACACGAAAAAATACATTAAACAGTAATTAGAAGCGTGGATTTCAATTTAGAAGATCTTCAGCAAGTATGTCGTTTAAAAAAAGACGACGCAAATTTGTATGATTGCAAAGTAAAATTAATCGAAGCGAGAATGTCAGCTCAATAAATCGTTTAAGTCTACCGATTGTAGAATTGATGGAATTATTAAAGTAAAGAAAAGTAAACGTATTAAATTTGTTTTTGTATAATAAACCATGCTTTCTTAAACTGATTTTTTGGACCTAGTTGCGAATCTTTTTCTATGTCTTCTGAGTGTATGGAAAATTTAAACTTTCGCTATGATATTTATCCCAAATTAAGCAGCGCGAATAGTTATTTGAAATAAATATATATATTAATTGAGGGCTTAAACGACATTTTATAATACGTAGAAAATGGGCAAGAACAGCTAAAAGAATTGCCTGAAGACGAATGAAGGTCCTTATTAATGAAAAATTTGAATGAAGTGATTTGAATGAAGTGAAGTTAAGATATATATTAGAAGAACCAACATATGTGGATTTCTCCCGAAAAGTCTACTAAACATCTTTTGATTTCTGGCTTTGATCTTAACATAATTTATCCCTACTGCAGTTAGAAGTAATACGAAGAGCGATGAAACAGAACCACAACATTCCGCCAAATTATTATCGGCAGATTATAAGGTTGCAGAAGTAAATGATTTGAGAAACTTACTCTTGAATACGATGAATGTAATATTAAAGGTAATGCAATATAGAAGTGTCAATATTGTTCACAAGCATTGCGTCTACATAAATTTTGTACCCAAGCGTTCAATCTAAGTGCCGCCTCTTCAAATATATATGAGAAATGTATAAAAATTGCAAATATGCGACATGCCGCCAAAGACTTTATTCTCACCAAAGAGAATGATGATAGTAATAGGAATTTGCCAACCTCCGATGAGATTGATCTGGAGATAGATGGACCATCTGTAAAAATTTTTGACTTGAGCGTGTGGAGCAAGAGCTAGCCGAGGCATATCGTTGAGCGTAATAATCGTTTCTGACAATATTTTTGTAGTTCGATTTTATGGTTGGAATAATAAATAAGAAATAATGTGGCCACTTTATTATTTCTATTTCATTTATTAACGTATTTCATAATTGATACAACTGTATGCATATATTAAGTGTATAAATAATATACAATTAAAAATAAAAAAAATATTCATTCACTAAATAGTTTCATTGTCTATTTATCAGAGCCAGTTGTAGTTTTTCGGATTTTGATATAAACAAAAATTTCTCTTTTTTCTGGTTTTTCATTTACATATATGAATGATAACAAGGAAAATGAGTCGAAAGTCCTACGTCATTAGGAAAAAAATTTTTATCAACTTTCGGTTATGTCGTGAACTAACTTTCAAATACGTGAATATTCCCTTGATTACAACAGATTACATTCAATGATGTTTAAGTTCACAATGATTAGGCTGATGATAGGTATCTCTCTGTCGTTCGTTTCCTCTCTAGCTCTCTTTTCACCAAATACCGTTTGTTTAAACTACGATGAGACTCTACCGTGCGTTATAAGTTTTCGCTTGCAAAAAACCCAGCTCGGTGTAAATTAATGATCCGTCTTTAATGCGCAAAATTAAGTCTTATTTAACTTTATCTAAATCACACTCTTACTTCGAAGCCAGAGTCGTTATTATTTATACTAGAAATTCTGAAATATTTGGTTGATAGTCATGTTTCTTTTTTATTCCAATTATTCTAATACGACCTTCAATTCAATATATTGATTTTTGTCTTGTTCATGCAATTGTTTTATTCACTACATTTGGTTATTGCATCGGTCATCTGTCGTTCACATTGCCATACTTCAATGTGCTATAAAAATGTGATATAAAAGGTGCTTTTGACAAGTAAAGTTTTGTGCATAATTCCGTACAAAACTCATTGATATCATTGATCGTATTTTTATGCGACAAAGCTTATTGCAAATGAATATGGTCGCACGATAGTAAGTAGACACCAAGAATTCGTCTCGTCTGGGTAATTGGATAAACGTTTTGATTGTGGAAATTGTTTTGCTACCAACCAACTCCCTATTTATATTTGTCCGAGTTTCTCTTACTTTGGATAATCTTCTGGGGGATATCGATCATATATGCAAGCACCTACAACATCGTGCAAAAATTTTGTTCTTTGTTAAACATCTCATTTGCTCACGTTATCGTTTTTACAATAAAAAAACTATGCATATATTTTTTGTGTTTAAAGTCGATGTTTTTTCATATCTACAATATATAAACTTATCGCTCTGAGCCATTAATTGTCTAACTTATTTTATCTCGCTAATTAGCTGTCATTCATTTAGTTTACAGCCGCAGAGATTTCGTTTTTGGCTGCTTTTTATTTTCTACAGAACTAGTGTCTTCAATAATCGCAAGTTTTATGTTTACTCTTATGCTTACTACTGTACCTAGTGCATATGATCTCTTCACCTTAATAACATATTCATTTCTCCTTGTGTATACGTTTATTACTTCTCTACGCATATTTTCGATCAATATATGTGAATATGTGCGATTGTTGGATTTATATACATTCTTTATGGCCCCTATATTTGCTGGCATAGTTTTTATAACGAAATTTTTAAACAACTTTAATTTTCTGACTTGAGAGTATACACATGCTGCTTTCATTTCTCCCTTTTATGAAGGAATTTTGGTTTTTCTTTATATGAGTGACATTATGGCTCCGGCATTATAATCTCCGCTTGTTCTTCTGGTAGCGTAATTTTCAATCCTTCTATAAATATTCTATTAAAATTCAATGTGTGCTATTCACACATTTTGTGCAGTTATTCATTATTCTATACGAGCGATTTCGAGTTTATTTTATTGTTGAAGCTTTTAGTTTATTTTATATGTTTGAAGCTTGTAGATCAGTGGTTTCGTGGGTATTTATTTTTAATTTTATGTTCTTGTTTGCAAAATTTGATAAGACTAAGTCTATTAATATTTCATTTTCTTTATGGTCACAAAACAATCGCCGTGGTGGAACTGGCGGATGTGTTCCAGGAATTTACTTATTACTTATATAACTGTTCTGATCGGATAAATGGTTAAGCCTTTAAATTAAATTTGATAACGTGAAAATTTTTCAATTTTATGGTTTATTCATTCCATCAGAAAAATAAAATGAATGCTTTCCTTATAGGCATGGGCATTATTTCACTAATATAAACTCCTTTAGGTGTATGTGTGTTATTCTACACATTGCTAAGAATCTTTAGAGCGTATGATATATTAAATTAACTCTGTTGTTTCGTTTATTAACTTTTAGTTCTAGTTTTTGGATCAGGCTTAAACAGTTTTATTTAATTTATCCACTAATACTCTACGTTTTGAAAATATTTATTGCTCGTTCAATGCTAAATGGAGCCTTCGCAGCATCCTTAATTATCTTTTGATCGAAAGACAGATATAACGTTTAAAAACTATCCAGGACGGAGTTGATTTAGGGAATTACTCACGAAAGATTCCGTACCATGGGAACTCCATCTTACATGACCAAAGAGAAAACAGATTGACTACTACGAATAACGGGAAAAGGGTCAAACCGAAATTTGCAAAACATCTCCCTTCAAGTCCTACTTTAAATCAACTGGTAATCAGCATTCGCTGGCATTCTCACCATTTACATTCAAAGCCATATATACAGTACAAAAGCATTGCGAACAAGCTAAGTGTGGGACCAAACGAGTTCCCTATAAACTATTATTTTAGATATATTATTGCCTTATAAAAATTCCGTCTTGACAATGGTTCCTACGTTTAATTTTCGAAATAACCTCTAGAAACCATTTTCATCAATCTTAATTAGGAGATAATCTTCAACTTCATAATTACGCCTAATTCCAGCTGCTAACTTTTTAAAGTAGTCGTGCTTCCCGGTTGCATATTCCTGAATTTCCTCTGTCTTCATATAAAAGCGAATGTTTCATATAAATACCTTCTCTTAGATGTTCATTTAGAAATATTGGCCTAATATCATAATTTAATTGCATTATATAATTTAAAAGACCAGTATCATTCCCTTCGGTGAAAATTTGTTTCGGGGCCAAATTAGGGCTGGGTATAAAATTGGGAGTACAATCTGTTTCGCATAAACCGTATTAAATGCGTTGCTAATAAGAAAACGAGCCTGGGTGAGCTAATCCGGTTAGAATCAAATTGGATGAATAGCAAAGGATAGGGAAGGCTAGGTAAAACATAAGAGCGAAGTCTGATTTTATGAAGGACACTTAGTCCTGCTGCCGACGCACGTAGAAATTGTCATCAAAAGTACTGTGTAGCTGATAAAGACGGAGCAAAAATTTCGCAAAAGTAAATGACATATTCCATCGGAACCGAAAAGTTTCCGAGCGAAAGTTATGTTGAGTCCTTGGCCTGCAAGCCGCTAAGCTGCACTGTTCGATACATTTAAGGCTTGTCTCAAGAAACGATTTTGAAAGAGGAATTCAATAATTTTCCCAAACACAAATCGTCTTTGCTTTTTAGAAAAAGACCTAGCTATTATTTTTAGAGTGCAGGCATAGGTAGACTTCAAACAAATTTTATTTGGAAACATTTTACTGCTTCCTTTCTTATTTTTATTTTATATATTGCAAGAGTACTTACGTCACGCACCTTGCTCTGAAATGGCCAAACGAGAATTTGAGGTGTGCGCCAATCGTTACAAGGAAGCTATGGTGTTTTTAAAACCGAATAAAAATCAGGACACCCAAGAAAACATTACCGTTAATGAAAATATAAAAACTATATGTTGGTAAGCTATAAAACAAGCAAAAATGTAGATATGTAGTAAAGTACAATGAAAGTTATTGTAAAGACTTGCTTATAAAAATTATTTACAAAAGAATTTTAATTTTAAAATCTTTCATAGTTCCATTAATCAACTTGTGGAATGCTCAGAAAACGCTGCGAGGAAAATATGCGGTATTGATGCAGCAAAATTTACGCGAGAATTAGTTGACAAATATGCTAGCAGCCTAACGAAGGTAATTTATTGCTTATTCAATTAATTATACATAACAAACTGCAGATTTTTTTGCTGTTGAAAAAACCATCAGTCAGTCAACTTGCTTCGAAAAATGTTTTCTTGAACAAAATCTTATTTCATCAGGCCGCTAGTCGTAATAAATGCAATGCCGCTGCTAGCTATTGACGCTGCTGAAAAAATCTGGAAGATGCTCGAAAATCCGGATGTTCCGTGACAGCACCAAATAACAATCAAAACTCCAACTCACCTTATCGTATCTTTTAAAGATATGATATCTTATATTCGTCAAGTTCCATTTAGAACATTCAAGTTAATCCAAAAGAGAATATTTTCGTTGCCTCTATTTTTAAAGCCACACACTTTGCTCAAAGAATTAAAGCTTGCTAGGGCGAACGTAACTCTTTTAGCCTTTTGAATTGCCTTTCTCTTTCTTAAAATGTTTCGCTATTGACTCTGCAGCGAAATCATTGACAAAGATGCAGTAAGTAGCCAGGAAGCGTTCTGTAAGGTTTTCCACTTCTTTTGTAATTGATAATAGTATTAATCGGATATTTTACAATTTTCGGTTTCTAGTTATAAATATGTGCGCAATATCTGGCTGACCTTTGCTGTATGTTATAAAGATGGCAAACAGCATTTCTGTGGAATGAGGCACAAAATGTTATATTCAGATCATCGCATTACATCTGGGATTATCAAATTTTATTTCTTAATTTTCTACAAAAATACCAAACAATATCGACATTTGTTTGTAAACAAAAAACTTATTTCAACCCTTTCGATCGTTATATTCAGACGATCATATTACATCTGGAGTTATCAAATTTTATTTATTTTTTTTTGCAAAAGTTCCAAACAATGTCGACATTTGTTTGTAACCAAAAAATTTATTTTAACACTTCGAATGTTATATTTGTAATATTATATGTTTTCCAGATATATTGTGATAATTTTACGCAGCTCCCGGAGAACTGTCATGGCGGGGACATTAGTGCTGGCTTATCTTTAAAAAACTTTCGGCAAATAACATTTTTGCTCTCAGTAATATTACCTTTTCTCAACCGCTATCATCTTCAAACTCAGCCTACAGGATAGAGATATGATAAAAATTTTGTAACTCTCGTAACGCGTATCTATTGAAATTAAGACAAGAATCAATAAAGTGGCACAATCTTTGCGCTTTACGTAATTTTATTTGTATACTGCATAGAAAGTATTATAATCAGCTATCCAAAATTTTTTTTAAATCACAAGCAATGTGTGCCTATGGTGTCGCATGAATGAGAAAACTTAAATGTATCTAGGAATACGATTCACGAAATTTTGACGAACGGCTTCCAGAAATGATAATCTGCCTTCAAGTTCTTTTGACCTGTTCTTGACTTGAACCTTTGAGTATGGAAGAAACGATTAATGACAGTGTAAGACAAATTGAAGACTGGCGTCATTGACAGTGATGCCAAAGAAAAATATTTAATAGGAAAACATAATAACTCTTAATTTCTTTTATTTTCAAATAATTTTCGCCAATTTCACCCTGTTACGGAAATCAATCTAAGTTTAGAACACACGAGATAACTACTTCAAATTCAAAATGCACCTACATACATAATTTTGACAATTATCCAAATTGGACTTCGCGGTCAGCAAATGTATACTGTTAGAAGAAACCAATAATAGATTGTAACAGCAACAAAAGAAGAGGTGAAAAAGTAATCAGCCTACAAAAGTAAAACAGCGATAGAGAACTGCTCAACAATTGATTTTAAAGCTAGGTTGGGATATGGTACTTTGAAGTAAACTAATTACCTGGAAAGTGCTTTAGTATTATTTATAGTCTTATTTATAGACTTACTCTTTAAACGACTTGAGAGGAAGCAGTGACAGAACATAGTAACCATATAACTGATGTGGTATGAACAGTCGGGAACAATCATCTACGAAATGTTCGTTGAATGTATATAATTATGTGGTGTCTAGCGAGTCCATCACTTCTAACAAAATATCTCAATTTATAAGCTTTGTTTTAATTTGCTTTTTTGGTGTGGAAATTTGTAATTGATCTTTCTGGCTCTTTCTAATGTATAATTTTGCTGCTCATACCTTTAGTTGCGTTGAAACAGCAATATGAAAAATTTCCACTTCGATTTCTTCGATTTGTATGATAATACTGACAGATCACAAACGCCAAAAGTTTGTTGACAAAGAAATGAGAGAGGGTGTGCCGTCGTCATAAAATTAATAATTCGAACTGTAAATGTAAAATGGCGACGGCCGCAAAAGTGGCGGATGACCTTTTCTTAACAAGACGTTAAATTTGGATATTAAATAAGAGAACTTCCGGACCAGAATCCATATTGTAATAGAGTAAAATATATCAAATAAAAAATTAAAGTTTTTTTACTATGAGGGCAAAACCCGCTTTCTTACATATTAAAATCCTATCTTGTGTATGGCTAGGATAAAATTTATTTGCCATCCCGCAGCTCGCTTAAATAAAAATTCATTTTAAAAACGAATCGTTTTCTTTTTAATTTCCGTCATTGATTTTTTATTCTTTTTGATATTTTCAGTTCGATAATTTTTTTATATTTTTTATTCTGGTGTTTTTTTTTGTACGAATTTTGTATCCAAAAATAGCATAGAATTATCTTTTTATCGACATTAAACAAGACAAATATTTTTTTTTTTAGGTTTTAAGAGACAGCAGATGGGGATATCCCAATGTGGACAACACTGTATCTAAACAAAACGAAATTGAATTGAAAATAAAACTAAAAAAAATAATAAAACATGGTCAAGTAACTGTTAATACTTCAAACGACATATCAATCAGTAAAGCATATAGTAACGACGCAAGAAATGAGGAAAAAAATGACATGAAAAAAATGAATAATTAAATATTATATAAAAAGACTATCTAACCTTAGAAATCTTAAACCAAGTGAAACAAACCATTATTTTTGACGTTTCTACTTATTGGCGCCATGAAATATTAAAACGGATTGATTTCAAGTAATTTGTTTGGACTATTCTGCATTTTCTTTATCTTCTCTTCATCTGTTTGCATGTATATTCTTGTTCACACGCCAATAGTATCGCAAAGGTTCCTTGGAAATGTAACGAATGAAAGCGATCGTATGATTTTGGTATGGAGTGATAATCTGAAGGGCCTGAGCTGAGCGGACAAGCCGCGTAGGCTCTCCGCCTACTCTCAGTTGAGTATTCCTAACGTATCGCGCGCTTATTTTACTGCATTATTGGATGGACAGACGTCATGTCAAAAATTGTCCGTTTCGACATTTCGTTTGTTTTTTAAGTATCGAAAGCTTTCAGTCGACTGGTATATAATAAATAACATTAAAGAAGCAATGATTTGGTGAAAATGGAAGTAAATGCCAACGAAAGTGTGCATAAGCGTTAAGCAGTAAATAATACTCAAAAAGAAATTAGAAAACAAAAATTAATTGTACTGGATATGGAAATATTGAAATCTAGAAAATACTTACATTATTTCTTTTATATCTATTTCTATTTATACAAAGAGAGCGATTGAATGAATATATATTTTAATAATAATAGGCAAACGTAGTTTTCGTATATTTTTAATATATAGAATAAAAGAAAATTTTATTTTTTCAAGAAAAGCGCATAACGATTCAAGTTAAAAGCGAGAAATTAAAAGGTAAATACATAACTAAGCATATGTTGGTAAAATAAAAAGTAAATGAAAAAAGTTGGATTTATTTTCGTATGCATCGTTGTTAATTTTTTCGTGAAAATGAATCCTTCGTAAAATTAATTCTGCCATTGACAGCTGTCAATTTTTATAATATTAGTGATTGTGCTTGTCAGCGTTTTTGACGTTCTTGGTATTCCGAAAAGCGACACTGAAACTCTCGACAATCAGTTTCACGCTAAAGCAGTATTTTTGGTTTAAGAAAGGTATAGATTGAAGGGTAAAAAAGGAGCCGCAATGGTGAATTTGTCTTCGGAAAACCAAATTTGTGAGAAAATGACAAAAACGATGACAATAAAACGCAATCATTAACTTACTTACTTATCTTTAATCCATTTAAAACTTCGAGGATTTTGTATAGACAATTATTTTTCATTTAGTCTGAAAAATTATTATTAAGTTGTATGTTAAGTTAATTACAATCTTGTAGTTATGTTTTTATTATGACGGATTATAGTATATAAATCATAAAAACATAACCAAATGACAATAACACCATAAAAACAACAAGGAGAAAGTCAACACCACCAACAATAGCAATAAAAGCGGCTAAAACAATGGCAATAATAATAGCGTCAATAACAATAAAAGGTGGAAATAAAAACAGCAACACCACATTAGCAATAAGCACATTAATAACTGTCAGATAGTTTTATCTGGCAATGCCATCATATTAAATTACGAAAATAAAGATATTCTACACTTTTTATTCATGTATGGAGATAATTAAAATGAAAATTACTCAACTTAGTTAATACAAGCGTTTATTGCATTCGGTACATTACAAATTCATGGCGAGAATAATTCGGTTTATGTAATATTTACCCGAATTAATTATAAATACATTAAAAATAAATCGAAAGGGCTATTATTATTATTATTTTAATTTTAGACTAATGAATTGAATTCTTAGACTAAAAAAAAGACATTGAGCACTAGCAACACAGGCTATCGGCTCTAATTTAAATAAATGGATATTAGATAATAAGCTTAGTAGTATTAATAAAGTAATATATTGAATTTATATTTGGTTCTGAAGCTGATTGTAGAATGTTCAAAGGGTTAATCGTTCCAAATGCAATACTTCTAGCCAAGGAAAAGTTGAGTCAGTCGCAGAGAATGTGATTGGGGGAGAAGACTTCTTCAGGATCCATTGGTGAGTTGCAATTGTATGACCAAGGCGAATTCTCGAAAATGTTTGGATCTTGGTTTTCTCAACATTTGTTGGATATAGGGGTGGAGTTAATTGAGGGTTAATGCAAGAGTAGTGTAGATGATGGTATTGTAAATTTCCTTCTGCAATTTTCTCTTTAACTTTTCTTCCAATGTATCTTTGAAGATCCATCTTTTCCATGACATCATCCATAATTAGAGGAGCAGAAGCAGCATACTTTGCCGCTCGATCAGCCTGCTCATTTCCCAGTAAACCGATGTGACTTGGTACCCATAACATTTTAATTTTTCCGTCGGGTGTAGTAATTATATTCCTTAATTTGTTGATGGTGCTCCATCTCGAAGTCGAAGGGTTCCGGGTAGCTTGTAATGCAGACAAACTGTCAGTAACAATGACGGTTTTGAGTTTGTTTTTATGGGCAAGGTTGGCAGCGTGAAGGATAGCTCTGGCTTCGGTTATGAAAGTTGAAGTGCTTTCGTGAAATATGTTGTTGAGAAGAACCCGTCCTGTAGCATCTACCACCGCACAAGCAGGAGGCAAACCAGGAGATTTTGAGCCGTCTGTGTACAAAAGATTCCAACCAGTATTGTCCAATACTTGGGTTTGCTCAGCTATTAGATTCCTGAAGACGTAATTTGGAGTATCTTCTTTCTTGTGCATAGACAGTGAGATGTCAAAAGAGCAGCCTTTCAAAATCCAGGGATGTTTAACACCAAAAGAGCGAGAAATTTTTAAGGGAATGTTCAATTCCTTTGCGATGCACAAAGAATGGTCAATTGCAGATGGTGAGTTTGGAATTTTCTTCGCAATAATAACCTTTCTTACGTCATCACCGAGAATGGATTTGTTTGAATTAAGAAGCTTAGGAACTATTTTAGCCTTTAACTCATACAGTATATTTTCTAAAGTTGGGAGACCAGTCTCAATTATAATATTATTTATGGGCGTCGTCCGAAAAGCATAACAACTTGCTCTGACGGGTTGGTGATAGACCGGTTTAAGGATGTTGATATTAGATTTGCAGCTATTGCCATAAATTATGAAAGCATAGTCAATCTTGCTTAACACAAGCATTTTCGTAAGATAAGCAATAGTGTTAATATGCGCATCCAAGCAACGTACTGTATGAAATTTACCCTTGTTAAAAGGGAGTGTTTTAACCGAAGGCAGTTTGCTTTCCAACGATAATTGTTTGAAAACGTGAGCCCGAGAACATGGAGCGTCTGCACATTTAGTACTGGTAAGTCGTTAATATGCATCAGTAGGTTTCCTGCATCAAACATTTGTTTTCGACAAATATGCATTTTTTTTGATTTTTGTATAGAGATTATAGCTCCTGACGAGTTTGCCCATGTGGAGATCTCACATGCAATAGATTCGAGGATGTTGATTGCTTTCGTGTTGTCTTTTTCTTTTGTAAAATTGTATACATTGTCCGCGTAGAGACAATGTTCCACTCTTGGTACACGGCAAAGAATTTTGCTAATTTCGTTGAAAGCGATCTGGAAAAGCGTGACAGAGAGAGGAGATCCTTGCGGAATGCCATTCATTAGCGGAAAGGAATCAAAAAGATGATTGTTGATTCTAACTTTGAACCGCCGATGCGACATGAATGATTTGATGTAGTTGAAGAATTTGGGTCCAACATTCCATGATTTCAAGAGTCTTAAGATAACATGAAGACCAACTCTATCAAATGCTTTTTCGAAATCAATTGAGAGAATTGTTACGTGATTTCGTTCGGAAATTGCTTTGCTTGTGAAATAATCAATATGTAACAGAGCGTCGATGCACCCTCTACCCCGCTTGAAACCAACTTGTTGCTTTGTTATCAGGTTCTTGGATTCAAGAAACCAAGATAATCTAGATGCCATAATCTTCTCTAAAACCTTAGAGAGGCAAGATAAAAGAGAAATTGGGCGATAATCAGATGCGATGGAGACATTTTTTGACTTTGAAATTGGAGCAACTGTTGCCAGTTTCCACTTGTAGGGTATATGGCCAGTCATAAATACCGTATTATATAGGTCCAGTAATTTCTTTTTACTAGACTTAGACATAGCACTGATCATTTGGTATGAGATGCGGTCTAGACCAGGTGTCTTCCCCTTCAAATTGGAGAGACAACTTCCAAGTTCTGAGGTAGATACGCAATTTTCCAGGAACATGGCACATCTATCGATATTATTTGAAAGAGATATTGGAGTCTTTTTATTTTCAATGAAAGCACTGGAGAAGTTGCTGTCAGAGGAGTATTCGCACCACACTTTTCCAAAGTAATTAGAAATCTCATCTGCGTCAGTTAAAGTTCCATTGGGAGTGCAGATGGCAGAAATTTCGTTCAGGTTTGAAGTCCCATTAAGTCTGTTGATTTTGTTCCAGACAACTTTCATTGATGTATTTCTGTGAATTCGTCTCGAGAAAAGTTCGAAACTAAGTGCCTTTGATTTCCGTAATTCCTTCCTGAATAAAGCATTGGCCTTTTTGTATAATAACAAGTGATACTGATCAGGACATCGCGGTGCCATAGATCCATTTTATTTTTCCTCAAAAACGAAAGCGTGTTGTTCCACCATGGAACCTTAGCTCGTTTAAAAGAGGTGTTGGATTGAGGAATAGAAAGATGAGCAGCCGTGCGAATCGCTTTAGACATAATAGCAGCATCATGGTTGCAGTTTCCGTTAAATGGCTTTGAATTCAAAAATGACTCCACCTGTTTGGAATAATTGATCCAATCCGCTTTATCTAGGAGGAATTTGGCCTGTTTTGCTGAAGTAGCAGAGGACGTTGAAAGTTTAAGATCGATTATGATTGGAAAGTGATCACTATTATGTCGATCATCAGAAATAGACCAGGACACCAAAGGAAGAAGTGATGGAGAGCAACATGTTAAATCAATATGTGAAAATGTATGATGAGTTGAAAAGTGCGTTGGTTTTCCATCATTTAAAACGCAAAGGTTGCTTTGAAAAAAGGCTTTTTCTGAAACAGTACCGCGAGTGTTGTTCACTGTTGAGTCCCAGATGGTATTCCAGCTGTTGAAATCGCCACATATAATAAATGGGGGAGAAAGTACGGAGAATAAACTGTAGAGTTCTTGCTGAGAAAACGATTGCGATGGTGGAATATAGAGCGAAAGCACTGTAAATTTTATATTTAACATTATTTGTATCGCTACGGCTTGTATATTTGAGCTTAAATTTATACGTTTGTGAGGTATACTTGATTTTATAAAAATACCTACTCCTTGTTTGGAATATGAATTTTGATCAGCATTCGTGAAGTATCCAGTATATGATTTGGGTGGAATAGGATTAAAAGAGCTTCTACAATGAGTTTCTTGAAGCGATAAAAAGGTTGGATTAAAATCACTTATGAGTGTACGGAGTTCATCAAAATTGTTAATAAGTCCCTTAATGTTCCATTGTAGAATTTTAAAAACTTTACTTAATTGTAATGACATGTAAGCAGAGTGGAGGGAGCGTTAAGTTGACATGTCAGCGTCTCCGTCGAGAAGGTCGCTATAGGAATTTTTCGTGAATGATTTATTCTTACCAGCAGAATAATCTGTATTTAGGTAATTTGGTACATTTGAAGCGCAACGGGTTGGCGCACGTGAATAATTTGAAATTGAAGATTGATTAATGGATGAAAGAATGGATTCATTAACACTTGTGATTTGTTGAGTAAAGTTGAGAGCTGGAGATTCTGGAGAATTTGGTATATTAGAATTTAGCAAATGTGTTGTTGTTTTAATTTTTTCAATATTTGTAGTTGCTTTGGTTTTCGAAGGTTGATTAATGGATGAAAGAATGGATTCATTACCACTTGTGATATGTTGAGTAAAGTTGAGAGCTGGAGATTCTGGAGAATTTGGTATATTAGATTTTAGCATATGTGTTGTTGTTTTGATTTTTTCAATATTTGCAGTTGCTTTGGTTTTTCCAATATTATCTTTGGCGGGTGATGTAACTGGTTTCGCAATATAATTTTTGGTTAATGGTGGAACAGGTTTTTGATTGGAAGCAGTTGCAGTTAAAGTCTTACTAGGCTCGATTTGGGAGGCAACAGCAGCATAGGTATAACTTTTGCCAATTCCATGGGCTACAGATGGATTTCTTTCCCGGTATGTGCGTCGCGTTTCGCCCATGCTACAGTAATCTACTGTTTTGATTTTTAATATTTCACGCATCTGTACAAAACGTGGGCATTGTTTGTCTAACGCTGAGTGTTGATCATTGCAATTTATGCAGAAACTACGGGTACAGCTTTCAGTATGTGGAGGATGACCACAGTTAGCAC